AGAGAGAGAGAGAGAGAGAGAGAGAGAGAGAGAGAGAGAGAGAGAGAGAGAGAGAGAGAGAGAGAGAGAGAGAGAGAGAGAGAGAGAGATTTTGAAAAGGCGACGTAGGTTTAGCAGGACTAACCAGACAGTGAGCATTCGGCAACCCTGCCAGTGGGGACACTTATGGTGAACCATGACCTCCCAGGAAAGCTTTGATGTAAATGCAAGTTCTAGTTGCATATCTGAAAGCTGTGATTACTTAAGACACGTTGCCTTTGTCCTTCGGGACATCTGGCGGACTTGGAACAATACAGATTGGCACGGCCCTAGGGAAAGGATGACACACATTAATCAAGAAATGGTCTTAGACAAAAACTCGGAAGAAAAAAAAAACAAAGTTCATTGCCATCAAAAAGACAGTGAGGGTGACAAGCAGCGAGAGCAATTCTCGTGCAATCTGTACCTGAAGTAGAAGCTGGATTTTGCTATCAGAGTCCTCATTACACGCTCCTGATGTACTAGACCGTTCCCTTGTGTCAGTAATCAGAATTAATTGCTGCTTTGACTGGAGTAGTCTGACGATTCTGACCCCGTACTTTATGATAAAGTGAGAGGACCGAAAAATAGCTCGGCAATAATTTTTTTTAATTGATTTGCATCAAGAACCCACCCTACCCGCAAGCTGAAAACAAGAACCTGGCTTACCACATCAAATCAGATCTGCATTTTCATTTGCCCTCATGAAGCATTGGTCTCAGACTCTCAGACAGCGGGAAGGGAAACACATGAGATGTTTTTTGTGTGTAGCTATGCCACAGTACGCCTGAAAACCCTGGTGTTTTGAAAAAAGCTTATCCTACCAGACATGCATGTACTTGCATTTCTTTTTCTTCTCCCTGTTCCCCTCTAAGGCTTACAAGTGTTTGGTCAATGGGTCAAAGGCTTTATTTTGATTTTGTTGCTTGTTCAATGCCCACCTCTCGCCAATGAGGCTCCATCAGCAACATCAAGCTCACAGTTTGACTTCCACTGATTCTGTTACATCTTCGACTCACACGGGTCCTACCGGACCCGACTTAGGGCCGGAGGGACACAGCAGGGCCTAAAGGCCCGACCTTTGGGGTTACAGGCCCTAAAGGCCTGATTTTGGACTATCACCCATCGGGTAGGCCCRAACGACACWTCGTTTGGGCCTGGCGGCGCTCTTGAAGCTGCCGCCCGCCGATTGAGGCTGAACCGTCCATCTGGACGGTCCAGGGTCTGGCCTGGCCTCGCAGCATTGAGGCCAGACCATTGCCCACCGGTATAAGTACCGGTATCCGCCTCAGAAGGGGGATCGGCCTACCGGAACTCTACCGGCACGGCATGGTCAGTGCTAGTGCACTGTTTTGATGCGCTAAACTTAGCGCAGGGGCTGAAGCAGGAGCGCAGCATAGCGCAGCAGCGAGCGGAGCAGCAGCGGGCGACTGAGCTTGCACGGCGGTTCTCACCGCCTGAGGTATGGTCTCTCCTCCTCTCCCTCGCCAGTCCCCTCTCTCTCTCTCTCTCCTCTTCCTCCTTCTTCTTCTTCTTCTTCTTCTTCTTCTTCTTCTTCTTCTTCTTCTTCTTCTTCTTCAGATTCTTCTTCTTCTTCTTCAGATTCTTCTTCTTCTTCTTCTTCTTCTTCTTCTTCTTCAGATTGGAGACTATCCAGTTGGACAGAGATCAGAGTTGGATTTCGGTGATATGAGACTGTGGTACTTACCTGATTGGAGACTTGGAGATTGTTGAGGTTGATACTTGGCTGCATCACAGTTGGACACCGGTTACATCTGGACTCTGTTATCTCCGACATTGGTGACCTTTGGTCCTCGACACTTTGATCTTGTTATATGACATTCTGGACTACCATTTCGGAGACCTATCAGACTCTATATTTGTGACCTATCGGTGTGATCTACCTCCTACCTCCTTCGTCTCTCCTCCCACCTTTCATCTGTGTATGTGTGTACGGGATCTGGGTATCGTCTATGAATGACCCAGCCCCCACCATCTCATGATTGTATATGTGTGGAGTGATGCCATGTAGGTCAGTTGGTGTGAGTCAGTCTATGTGAGTCAGTTCGTTATCAGACTTCCGCTGCATAAATGCTCATCCTATATTGGTTGATCTTTGGTTCTGCCCATACTCATTGAAGTATGCAACAGATTCACTTTAGGCGGACCTTCTCTACCCGGGTCGTGAACAGTGCACACTACTACTCTAGAATTTGTCTATCCATCCTCTGCAGACTGTGCAAGGTCAACCTTCCTTGCAACTCCGTCAAGTATTGCCAGAATGCCTACATCTGGTTCCATCATGTTTGGCCGTCTGCGTCTGTTGAAACTAGCGCATTGCAACCCCAACTTTGCGACTTCGTGAGCCAGGTGAACATCCCAACAGCCTGCATTGGGGTCCAGAGCGTTCTTGAAAGCTGCATCATCCTCAATTGCATCTTCGATAATTTCAAATGCGTTCGAGAGATCTCCAGTCAGCATCCCCAGGATGGTGATGCCAAATGCATAGATGTCCATCTTCTCAGTGACACTAAGAACTCGTTGATGCAAATAATCTGGCGCAATGTAGTGGGAGTTGTTGTCTGTGGATACAAGCAACGGAGTTCCCCTCCTCCCAACCTCTCCAGAAGACTCTGTGTCAAGAATCGCCTCGTCTACACCGCAGATCTTTGCCACAAAGCTGTCAGACAACAAAATGCTTGCTGGCTTGATAGCCCGATGTATGATGGGACCACCCGATGCAGATGGAACTGAGTGCAGGAAGCACAGTGCCCGAGCAACCTCAGCCATTACGCGAAAGCGGGCATACCATGGCAGGAACCCTCTTGCTGCATTTTCTTCATCATGATGTGAGATCCAGTCCTTTAAGCTCCCGCGCTCCATGTGCTCGTAGACGAGACACCTCCCTTCGTAACAGACTCCTAACAAGGTCAGGAGATGGGGATGGCGGAGTGTTCTCACCCTGTCCACAAGCTCTGTCTCCAGCTCTGCATGTGCATCTCTCACCTTTCTCACCGTAACAAGACTGCCATCTTGTAGTGTCCCAAGGTAAGTATTTTCAAACTGTTCCCCGCCTCCAAACTTCCGCTTCACGTCAAAATTATCAGTTGCATCTTGCAGCTCCTTGAAGGAGTACTCCTTTAACAGATGAGGGTCGGCAGTGCAAACATTAGATGCGAGTGTTAGAGATGCGGCCTCCGCCCTTTCAAGTTTGGCTACCTCTTCTCGTAACTTGTTCTCTAGCTTGCAGATCCTTTGAGATAAACGAGCTCTGCATTCTTCTTCTGCCTTCCTCCCACTGATCTCACCATCCAGTCTCCTCTCAACCTCTTGAATCCTCAGTTCGGACTTTTCAAATCTCCCTGCCATTGTTTGCATCTCTTTCTCCAGCTGCTGGAGCCTTTGCGCTTGTCTCTCCGCCTCCTGAATCCTCAGTGTGGACTGTTCAATTATCCCTCTCATTGTTTGCATCTCTTCCTCCATCCATTGCACTCTCCCTGCTTGTCTCTCCACCTCCTGAATCCTCAGTTTGGACTCTCCAAATGTCCCCGTCATTCTTTGCATCTCTTTCTCCAGTTCTTGCACTCTCTCGGCTTGGATTCTCTCCTTTGCCCAATACTCTGCCATCACTCCCGCAACTACTTTTTTGCAGTTCTCGTCTACTATCGCTACCTCTTTCTTAATTCTCTCTTCAAACTGGAGATTGTCTTTGACTAACGCCTTGACAGTGTGTTCAATCTCTTCCATGGCCTTTCTTGATACCGCTGTTGCTTCATTGACCGCAACAGACATAATTGATGAAGAAGAAGCTTGAACGTGTTTTGCACAAGGAGACTCCTTTTGCTTTTGCTGTTCGTTGTTATTGTCTTCCTCCCCTATTTCCACCTCCATGACACGGAACTCACCTTGACCCGCAAGAATGAACTTATTAGAAAGTTTACTTGGGATCATGTTGCCGACAATGTCGAGCTTTTGAGCGTCCAATTCAGAGGAAAAGGAGGACACTTGCTGGTAGCTTGAGTCACTCCAAACTTTAATCTGTCCATCCCTTGCTGCAGTCATTATGTACGGCAAGTGCGGATGGAAGAAGGCCGCCTTGATGCATTTATCGTCTGCTTTCCATCGTGCAATGCACGTGCCCTTCTTGTAGTCCCACACCCGTACATTCGGGTCGTCCCAGTGGGAAGTGATCAGAAGTGATCTCTCCCCTCCACGACAGAAGCCCATCCGACAGAGAAGCCCTTGACCATTATCCCTCAGGGTTTGAATAATAGACCTTCTCTCCAAATTCCACACTTTGATGATGTTATCCTTTGAGGCACTTGCAAAGATCTGTGCCTCAGTCGAATGAAACACCAATGCACTTACATCTGCCTTATGCCCTTCAAACTTTGTCTTCTCCCATTTGCCGCTCCAGTGCCACAGAAAAAAGTCGTTGTGATCGAAACCGGCCAAAAGGCAAGGGAGGCTCTGATGGACAGCCATTCTGTTTGTGTAACTTTCAATAGTTTGCAGTTGCGTTAGACACCGCAAGTTTGAGCCTTGACATTCACACACTTCATATATTCTCCAGCGCCTCAACACAATCCAATTATCTTTCTGCGGGATGAATCCTGCTTCAAAAACATAATCATTCACACCGCCAGGGACTACCCAGGAGGCCACTTGTTTCCCATCTTCATAGTTCCACACTTGAAGAAGTAATTTCCGATCAGGTGTGAATATGAGCCATGGCTCACAAGGATGCAAATTGATAAACAGCCACCAACTACAACCGCCTGGCAAAATGTCTTGTCCCTTTCTCCCGAACATCGGCACAAGTTGCACCTCCCCTTCGCCATGACCATCACCCATGGTTCGTGTTTTGCACTCCTCTCCCACTGACGACCTTGGTGCTTCTGTATTCCTACCTGCCCTGCACTCTCCGATGACTTCCTCACTTAGTAGGGCTTTGCTTCTACTTTTCCAAAAGCGCCAATTTCTACTCAAAGTGTAAGAACTCTAAGCTTGAAAATTCCCCTCATAAGCGGGGTAGTCAGAAAGCAACAGGGGGTAGTCAGAAAGCATAAGAGACCTCAGCAGTTCTGAAAGCTTCAGCGCTTAATTTTTCTGAGCAGATGGTTGAATAAATTCTGCCCAGGCTTGGGACGTAGCTTCCACTCCCATGATCTAAGTTCCATTGGGAAAAAACAAAACAAAAAAAAACAAGGTGGTGGATATGGCCACCCCCAAGAAGTGCCCTATCGGGAGTGCATTCACTGTTGAATTGTTTTCGGGTACGAGCAGTGGCTGTGCTCTAAGTACTAGAACGGGAAAGAAAATGGTCATTGCCAATGAGAGACAGAAACACAGAAGTCGAAGGAAGCTAATTTCCTAAAGCACACTCTCCCCATGTGAATACTGAAAAGAAGTTCATTGTACAGCCAATACAAGCTCTCTCTGCGTGTCACGCACTTACTCGCACCGAGGCACAGCCTCACACCCTCACCGGCCTTTGCCCTCTCGCAAGCTCAACTCTCCTTCCTTTCTTTAATCAACCCCTTCTCTGAAAAGTCACACAGGGGGATAAACCCACTAAATACATCAAGGCCTTTGCCCACTCTCCATCTCACCTCTCTTTCCTTTCTTTAATCAACCCCCTCGCTGAAAAATCACACAGGGCAATAAACCCAATACCTACATCAAGGCCATTCTCTCTCCACAGGTAGAAGTCGTGGAGCTCCCATCAGTGCCATCACCTCCTGCAAATACAGAAAACCCACCAGAAGCAGATTTAGGGTCGCCTTTTTTTTTGGGCTCACAATTTCGGGAACTGCTAATTTGCTAAAGTTGCCTATTCAGACTAATATTCTGAATGAAGTTGGGTGTGACTCCAACGTACTAGCCTTTCAAAAAAAAAGGAAGGAAAATAGTAAACGCAAAGCTTAAGATCTTGTCTGACACTTTCCATCTCTCTCCTCTCCCACACTTATGAATTCCACACTTTCCTGTTGAGATGAGATGTAGCTTGGGGTGGTAGATCATTTCACTCAGATAATAACGATGATGGCCAGCATCATTTTTTCACGTTTTCCCTTCCCCCACCCCCACGCCCCCCCCCAAAAAAAAAGAAGAAGAAGATTAATAGAGCTTCACAGGACCTAGGCACTCAACAAGGACAGAATTCGTCCCGTCATTAATTAATCAGAACGATTATACAGAAAACTAACGCTTCTGCAATACCTCTCCCACTGGTCTTGCATTCATCTCACTACCATCCTCCCCCACATCTGTCGTACGGCCATCATCGCTGTATCTAGACTTCATATTGCCCCAAATACACAAACGACAATGACCGCACGTTCTATTTCAGGGGAAGACAGAATTCTCCCAACGGGTAGTCTTCTCCGCTCATTTCACCCTAAGGGTCTCTCTCTTCCTACATGACTGAAACCATACCGGGCAGATGTCCGAAATGAATTCACTTCCCGCTGCAGACGAGCAGTTGACAGTGATGTTGTTGTTGGACTCGAGGCAAAATCCGATGATGGATGGCATGGGCATGGTAGGGCAATCGACGGCCGGGAATGATCTACGGTTCCAAATCAGCCGCCTGCACCGTTGGGGGAGGGGGGATGGGGCCTCTGCCCCTAACAGTAGGGGTTGGACGACGTGCGGAAAAAGCGCCGCCCCTCACTACTCACCAAGTCACCGAGTGGGCGAAATGGAATGCGCATCTTCCGATAGAATGTGGAAAGATACACCCATGATATCCCAAAAATAGTACTGTAGACGGTCATTCGCGCGTGATTAGGACGACGAAACGAGAGCGCACGGAGGGAGATAGGGCCGCCACGTGGTGCTGCCAAATTGGTGGCCAGTAATTGGGATAATTGGTAGAAAGCTCCCCGACATTCTCAATCGTAAGAACAGGGATAAGGAGTAGGAATAGTTGTCTATTACCCCCTCTTTTTCTGATGTGTAAATAGCAGATATGTCAGAAGGTATAGGGGACACTGGACCCGGATTCCAGTTAGGGACACTACACCCTCGTTTGAGATGTGGAGGGATTCCCGGCCTCCTTTTGCCGTTTAATGAAACAATGCTGTTTTCCAAAATAAAAATAAAAAAATAAAGGGTTAATAGCAAAAATATTGCTCCTTTCCAAGTTTGGCAGCAAAAATGTCGTCCGTTCGAAGTTTCCTTTGCAAAAATAAATAGAGGTTCCGTTGCAGCTTTATCGGGTTCCCGTAGTTTGCCAGCAAAATACCACCTTTTGCCCAGTTTCACAGCAAAGGACCCCTAGGCCTCTGGCCTCAGGGCCTTCTCGGTTTTGGGCACCCAAAACTCGGCCGTTTGGTTCGGCCAAAACCGTCTTCAGACTGGGTGAAAGGCGGCTTCGCGCCGTGGCCACATCTCCCTGGGCCTGTTTTTACGGGTTCAAGAATTTGGTGCTGTCTTTGCGCCAGATTCATGAACCGGTAAGGCCCTTCCTTTTTTTTTTTTTTTTTTTTTTTTTTTTTGGGAATGTATTTTCTTGTATTCCAAATTTCATTATATGTGGCCGGGGACCTCACAATTCAACCCAGAGTTATCCCGGCAGCATCAGCCGGTTTAGCTTAAGTCTCCTTGGACTCAAAGTCATACTAAGAGAGCCAAAATACCCACTCTGAGGACCAACTAAAGTCAACCCCAAACTCTATAACCACAGAATAACTGTGCTACCTAATACCTAATCCTACGCTTATCAAGAACCAAAATGTATGAAGAACTTCGTACTTAATCTAACCTCTATTTAAACCTCAGAGAAGGCACTCAACTAAAGGAAAACCATTCTGCCTGAAGTCTAAAATTCGACTTCATTCTTTCGTAAGCCAAGCAGGAAATTTGAAACATCCATCTGGTCTAAACACGACCAAACGTGCATTTAGACCCCACGTCTTAGAAAACCAACAAACTGCCTTAGGAGCTTGCCTATACTTCGTCTTTCTTCTCCAGTCCGCAATGATGGTGTGTCTAATATCGTTCTTCACCTTCTCAATATTATCTTTCTCTGAGAGGTGACACTCCCGAAAAACCTGGTCGTTCCGGTCCTTCCACAGGGCACCAAATATAATTCCCCTGATCACTTGTGCTACATACCCCCAGCCTATATTGGGACTAACATTGGCTGGGAGTATGCCGGATAACACCCATTGCTCATCCCAAGGAAAAATGTCCTTGGTGATTTCCTTCCAATATTTCTCCCACCATTTCCATACTCTGAACGCTAAGGGACAGGAGAACCAAAGGTGAACTGATATCCATCCCTTTAGCTCCCAACCAGACTGCTGATGCTGTTACCAACAGCGATTGCAACAGCAGAATACTTGCCTGTTTTTGAGATGGCAGTCCTTTAAGCTGCCGCCAATGTACAAGTAAGTCTTTTCCCTTTACTGTACTCATTTGCTGTTCCTCACGTCGTCTAATAACAACATCCACTGGTTTCTGCTTTATTTTCAGCTGTTGTAAGGCTACACCTTTTTTAGGCGAATACTCGTTCAGGCTAATCAGTTTTTAAGTTTCAGAATCCAGCCAGCCAATCAGTCCGGGGTGTACAGTAATCTCTGATACTGTTCTACCCCCTGCCACCAACTTCACCGGTGGCCGTGACGGACATCCTGTAGTACTAGCCTGGTGCGGACCTCTATTCCCCTCTACATCCTGACTTAACTCATCCACTAAAAGCTGACTCAACCCTGTAGTATTGCTTACCCATATTGTTTCTTTGAAGCAGAGTGTTCTGGTGTAGGGAGTTGTGACTGAGGCTGTCCAAACTTCTACCTTGCAGCTATAATCGCTCAGCTGCTCCATCACTTTCCAAAAGGTAGGAATACCTCTACCACTTTCACTTTCAACCAGGTATTGGTAGTACGACGAGAACGCAAAGTATCCATCCAATCAGGAGGTACTGAGTTTTGAATATCTGCCAGTCGATCCTCCACTGATCTCAGCCATCGTAATTGGTTCCTTACTGAGACTTCACTGCGCCAGTCCCAAGATTCCTTCTCCCACAGATCTCCCAATTTGAGCATTCCTCTCTCTATCCACGCCCTCCCAAAATTCCCTGGGCCATCGTGGGCAGAAAAGGGCAATCCATCTGGGCCACACAGCAGAGGGTTCTCAAAGATTGGCTGCATCGCCACCTCCTCCCAGGAGGGCGGATGAACTCGATAGACAGGTAGGAGTTTGGACCACGCATAGAGGATTCCTCGCCAAAAATTAGACTTTGGCCTTTTACTACAATAGGACTGTATATATAGGCAACCCCACACATCAGATGGATTCTTCAGATTCCATTCTTCCGACAGGATGTACTCAGCCAACCAAATCCAAGCGTGCTTGTTGTCTGCCAGTAAAGCTTTAACAGGCCATTTCGCTAATAGGGCAATATTCTGACGTTTGGGATCAGGAATGCCAAATCCCCCTTGTTCTCTAGGAAAAGTAATACAGTCCCAAGCAACTTTGGAGAGGAAACCCTCGCCCTCCTCGGCTTCTGGTTTCCATTAAAATCTTGCTGCAACCCTCCTAATCTGTTTATACGCATGATTCCCGAGGACATGCAGTTGCAGAGGATACCATAGCACTGAGAAGGCTGATGCCGATATTACCGTAGCCCGACCCAGCAAGGAAAGGTGCCTCGTGCATTCCCATTTGGAGATTCTTCTGCACACTTTTTCTTCCAGCAATTGGTCCCGAAGCATTGAATTATCAGATAAGGACACTTGGACACCCAAATAACGATCTGAGTCTTCAGAATCTATCCGTCTCATACCCCAGTCCACTTGAAGTTGGAATTGAGCAGGCAAAAAATAGACTGACTTATTCAAATTCATAGAGGCCTCAGATAGTATAGTATAGTCATCTAAAACTCTACGTAAAGCACACAATGTTCTTCTTTCATTCAAACACGCGATAGCTAAGTCATCCGCGAGCGCTCCTCC